AATATTACAGAAGGCAGACAGCTGAACTTTTCTGTCGTCAGTTTTAAAATGAAAAGTTTGAGGTTTTCGTTCAGTTAATTACTGCCCAGAACCTTTCAATTGCTCATTTCATGGGGACATTCTATATTTACATGGTATTCCTGTGTTGTTTTTTGTGGTTTAACCATATATTGGAACAGCAAAGGTCAATACTAACTACAGATCACTTTGCCAAAGTAAAATACACCCATATTCATTCCAACCCCCTAATTTTGCAGCTATTGGCTTAGTTTGACTCAAGTAAATCAGCTCAGTAGCTTAACTCTCAGATCTTAAGGCCTTTCTTTTTAAAGGGACAATTTTAGTGTTTTTTTTTAAACAGCCAAAAGGCAGAGTTTATATATGTGTGCAGGCAGTAGAATCAAAATGCCAAATAAAATAGATAATGAGTGATAGATAAACTGGCATTGCAATGGGAGAAAGGCACTGGATGAGGAAGGAGAGCAGCAGTGAGAGATCCTTGGCATCAGCCTCTGGTTATTGGGTTGCAGGGGATGCTGTGTTTGTGTGGCAGTGGAAGTCTTCCAAGGGCCAGTATTGGAGGTGAATGAGCAAATCTTGGCTCTGGCAGCTGGTAGAGCAAGGACTGAAGTGTCACTTTCCCAGAGCTTTCTGCCCTACAGCCACGCTTTGCAGAAGTGGATATTTTTGTGCAATAGATATCACACATTTTTAAATCTCTTTTTTAATAGTACATTGTTTTCAGCAGTTGTAATGACCTTGATGGTGGAGTCAGTGTGTTCATCCCTCCATCACCAGAATTTCTGCTGCTTGGTGGCATGTGTAAGCCACAGCCTGTAGCTAAAGTATGTTTTTGCTTTTTGAAAAAGATTAATCATGATATTTTCCTGAAACTACTAATAATTACAACCCATCAGAAGATAACACTGTTTTGTGAAAACATATCACCTTTTAAAACTGGAAGAAAAACATTAATATTTAAAGCTACAGTTCTGTCTTACATTTCCCAGCATAAGTATCATAGAATCATAGAATGGTTTGGGTTGGAAGGGACCTTAAAGCTCATCTGGTCCAACCCCCCTGCCATGGGCAGGGTCACCTCCCACCAGACCAGGTTGCTCAAAGCCCTGTCCAACCTGGATGAGATTGGAGAGAAAAACCACAAAAAGAATCGAAGCTGACTGCCAACTCAGATATGTACCCAGATATAAATAAAAACAGTGAAAAGCGTGAACAGTTTGTGGGCAATTTAAATAGCTTTAAATAAGCTTTTGTAGTTTGAAAGAACAAAAAGAACTTTTGTTTTCCGGTTGTATATAAGAGCAACTGGAGCTTTGGATTTGGCATATGAGAAGGATTGGTTTGTAAACTAAATTTGCAGTATCACTAAATTTGGTGTCTGGATACTAGTAGTGCAGATTCCACATTAAAAGTACACTTAGCTTTGTAACTATTGTTCACTAGATTATTTATTATAATCTAGCTCTAAACCTTTATAATACAAAATAATTCAGAAGTTCATGTTCTGCTCTTTTCAAATACATTACCTGGACAGTGGTTTATTTCTGGTCTACTCTGTCAGTGTTGGCTACAGGACTGTTCGTGTGAGGTGTTACAAGTTATTTGGCTTTTTTTTTGTGATGGTAAGGGTTTTGTCCTGAACACCTAGAATTTTCCATTCTGAGTTTCTTAGTCCCTGGGGTTTGCATCTTGGCTGAAAAGAAATGTGGTTTAAGTAGAAAGCTGGTTTGTAAGCTGATTTCATGAGGAAATTTGTCATACCTTTAACTCTTACTTTAGTCCATTAATGTACAGGGTTCATATTGTATAGTACAGTACTGGTGACACATTATTGCAGAGCAGTGTCAGATTATTCCTTAACCCCCCTCCTTAATTGTGGTTTGGTTGGGTTTTTTAGGAGCTACTTTTAAAATAGCTTATTTTCCCAATTTTCCTATCTAAAATTGTCTCAATTCTGCATTGTGTTCCTCACATCTTTCTTATATTTGAAATTTCAAGTAGATTGGTTTTTATCTGCTCAGGTTTAGAGAGGAGAACAGGCGCTTATGAGTGAAGATAAATTGCAATAAAAAGATAGCATGAAGCAGCATACCTCTCTTTCTAAACAAGAGATACCACCTGGTGGCTGACTGGGACAACCAGTAGTCCCAGCTAACAGATGTCATTCACATCATCGCTCACACTTGCACAGTGCTGCAAATAGCTTGTATGTTTGCTGGAACAGAATCTGAGCTGATTGGAGAGTGAACTGTGAGAAATATAGTCTTTTGGTGACCAACGTGCATGCAAAAGAGGAAAATGCTCCAGTTGGAAGCTTCTCCCATAAGCCCCTTCAGTGTGTATGGCAACAGAGGTAGACTTGGAAGCTAGCACAGAAGAAACACTTAGAAAATCAGCCTGTTGCTGAGGAAATATCTGATGAATTTAGTATCACAGAATCACAGACTGTTAGGACTTGGAAGGGACCTCGAAAGACCATCCAGTCCAACCCCCCTGCCAGAGCAGGATCACCTAGACTAGGTGCAGTTGTCTGGTCTGATTTGTCACTGTACCTGTATTCCCCCAAAGATGGGGGAACGTACAGTAGAGTTGTAGTCAACTGGGCAATGGTCTCTACATTTTGATATCTGCAAATGTTGTGGTGGTGTTCAGTGAAGGTATAGCTGTGTGGATTTTTGGATTGTGGTCCTGCCCCATCTTGCTAATTCAGCGAGACACCCTTAATTTGACGAAGGCAGTCATCTCCTGACATAGCAAATGGGACAGACATCCAAGGAAGTGGGATGGTTCTGACTTGGATGGATTTAATGCTGCAGTGTAACCACTTCCTGGGATGGGGATTCGAGGACAAATTGCACGTATGGTGCAGGTAGGCAAAATTGCCAGCCTCAGTGGCAAGCAGTGGTGGTCACCACCACATATAGTAAGACGTACATTTATTTCCTAGCAAATGTGCTGAATAAATGAAGACTGCTGACATGTTCATGTTACAACTGTTTCTTTTTGTAGAACTACAATTTTCAGGTCACTGGCTGAGAACAGCAGGAACCAGCAGTTTTAGTGTCTCTAACACAATGAAAATTCCTCCTCCCAGTGTAGCCATGCCTGATACTTTGTATGCACTGGAACTTTATCTTGTCTCTTTTCATTAAAAAAAAAAAAAATCATTGTTTGAAACTTTGGAAACTTAAGTTCTTGTCTAAAACCCACGAACATCAGAAAGGTATTGGAAACTTTCCCATTGCTTTCCATGGTGTATAAAAGCCTTCTTTGAAAGACCACCTAAAATAAGATTGCAGAACATCTTCTGTACAGATTTACTGCTTTGTGAACACCAGAGAGTTACAGAATAAAATAAAATTAAAAGATGTCATACAATTTGATCTAGAACACAAGACTTAAAGTAGCAGAGAGTAGCACCCCTGGAGAAATGGGTGTTTCGCTTTAGAGAGCAAGACAATGCTGAATATTTTGTCCATTCTGGGGGACAGTCCTTGTCCTGGAGCTCTTTAAATAAATAAATAGCACCATACGTTATTGATTTGGTCTTCTGGCTTTAAAGTCTATAAATTTGAGTTCTACAGATGTTGAAGCCCGTGTAGGAAATGTCCGACTTCTCTCTTTTTAATTCTATTGCAAAATTGCAGAAGGTGTTAATTTTACTTATAATATAACTTATTTACAGGTGCAGATTCACTCTACAGAAATAGTTTCAGCCTCAGTGATGAAAAGCTTAACTCGCCAACTGCATCTACTCCAAGCTTGCCATCTCCATCAGTAACTCTGTGTAGAGGTAAACTTAATGTTAACTGTTGACACTTCTTCCCAATTTTCAACTGTATAGCTTTCTTTCTGTGAGCCAGGATTCACATGCGTGCATTCACTTTTTTTTAAATGACAAAAACCCCCTAAGAATTACTATTGAGCACACTACAGATTCAAGTATTATCTTGATTATGAACAGCAATAGCACACTGCATCCACACTTCCTTGCTGGTGACCTGGCAACTCTTTTTTTGAAACACCAAGCTAAAGAATAATGTCAGTGTTTTGGTGCATAAGAAATCATGGTACTACTTACAGAATACTTCACTTAAGAATTAACTTGTGCCACTTCTGTCTTAAGCAACTAAGTAGCTTAAGTGTCCTGTCTCTATACAGAAATACTTAGCCTGAATGCAGGGGTGCAGTAGGTGCCTCCTCCAAAGCTGTATGCTGCTGTTCAGGTTAACAAAATTACGCAGATACAACCCATGTGCTAGTGATTCCTTCCTCCTTTGTAGCTATGCTGTTTCAGAGAGGCTTCTGCCTTGCAGCTGATCTAACTTTCCAGGGGCTTGCTTCATTCAGGTTGACTTAGATTAACTCTGGAGCAAATATATCAATAAATGAACAGACATTCACGTGTACTACACGATGCTTTCATTACAACTAGTCTTCCCAGATGCATACTCAAGAGCTTTTCACACTTTCATGTCTTTTCCACATTGACCAGTCACAAAAAAAGCAAACCTACCCAAAACCAGGTAAAATGTTTTTGTTTTGTTTTTTCTAATTAACATGGTATTAGGGAGAAATGATGAATAATAGTTAATCAGAAGTAGCAAAAAAAAAAATAATTATTTAAAGTGTCAGGAAATTCCTGGCAAGGAATTACACCGAAGGTCAAGATGCTCTTCCTGATGAAAAGACAGACATAGAGTTGTAACAGACTTGGAATAGATCACAAAATTTAAATAAGGAAGCCACTGCAAGTAAAACTAAATTGAATGGAACCATTGTTGTTCTCAGGAATGGAAGTTTAAGCGAATGTTTGAATCCAAATTTATAGTATATGGACCAAGATCAATGAGTGTGACGTAAGAGCAAACCATTGATACTGACATGATTCAAGAGATTTAGATTTGGGCAAAACTGGGAGCTGACTGGGTAGGATTTGATTGAGGCCATGAATGCAGCATCTGAATAGGTGTGATAAGGAAGAATCTCACAGTATCAAGGATTAGATGACCTATAGCTTTTTTTCCTCCACTTCAACCTGGGCTTTTTAAGGATACTAAAAGGGGATTGCTTTGCTTTTGTCGAATGGAAAACTGTAAAAACTAGAATTTCAGATCGGCCTCCCCTGTTTTCTAAGAATGCATTTGGACATTGTAGCAACCCTATTGAACTTTTCTGAAAGTAATTTCAAGCATGTTTGATACCACTGAAAATGATCTGGTGGGGTTGTGTGGTTCTAGTGTTTTGGCCCGAGAAATGTCAAAGCAGTGCTGACTGTCTCTTAAATTGCAGCAAAACTTGGAGACACGAAAGAGCTGGAAGACTTCATTGCTGACCTTGACAGAACACTAGCAAGTGAGTAGATCCTGTTAGTGGGCTGCATTTCACTCGGTGTTGTCAGAATGATGAAAGCCAGTTTATAGGGGGTGAAGGAAAGGGTAGCCATAGTTTTATAAATGTAGCTTCATTTAGTTTGCAGTCCCGTGGTTCATTATGTGGATAAGAAGGTAAAGCTAAACTCTGATCTCTGCCTGCATGTTCAAGGTGTGCAGTTTGGCTCATGTGACAAAGCCTGTGCGCTGATGAACCTCTGTCCCCACCTCTGAGGCAGCTGCACTTCACCCCTCCCAACAGTGTGTAGATTAAGTAAACATATCACTCCCATAAATACTCAAAACTCAGCTAAAAAGTGAGGTTTTGTTTCTTCATTATAAAGCTAAGTAATGGGGGGATTAAGTGTAGTTGAGTTATACTTTTTTTTGTTATTCTAGACTGTTTTATGAAAAAAATTAAGGAGCAGATATCTATATCTATTGACTTAAATATCAAAATCCTGTTTGTTCTTGTCTTTACCAGGAATGGCATTTAAATCACTTTTTTTCTGTCACTATCTGGAAATTGTATTTTCCAGTTACACTGCTGGGTTTATCATATGATTTCTGAAGACAAAAAAACAAACCCAAAAACCCTCAATTTCCTACTCCTTACCATGTCTTCTGTCTATTCCTTCTGCTTCTGTGCTGTTAGAAAGACGATACCGTTTTGGAAGTTTTTTTGTATGGAGACAGACTGTAGACCCCCAAACAACAGATTTTAGAACTAGACCTAAATAGCAGCATGAACAAATTACCCCCGAGAACAATGAACTACGAACTGAGAGTTTTTTGTACTCATTGGGTGTTTTCCCTTCCCTGTAGTTCTTGAAGCCTTGGCCATCTGCCTTGGACTTAACTCAAGACAGCTGCCCTTATCAGCTTCCTGCTTCCCTATCTTCTTAATTGTATCTTAACCCTGGTTTCAGTTCTCTTAAACTGTATTTCTAGTTTCCTGATTTCTGTCATGGGTGCATGCTTGAGCTAACTCTGTCTTTACCACTGAAACCTAATTGACTGCTCTTCTGAAAAACTTCTGAGTTTGAAGGTTTGTGTAGAACAGTGAAACACCCAGACCAGCAGTTGCTGACACTGCTGTATCTTACACAGCACATTGCAGAGAAATCTTGAGGTGTTCCTCTTGTATATGGATTTTGCTGTCCCCTTGCAAGGCCCATCTAAGGTGATGTCAGAGATTGCCACCTGCTGTAGTGGGTTTTTCCCCAACTAAGCCAATCTCTGGTTATGTCTGCAAAGTCTCGTTTGTACAGTGTCACTTGCTTTACAGTGATACACTGTAAAACACATCTTTCTCATTCATTGAAGTTCTGAGGGAAAAGTCCAACTTCTGTATGATATTTATTATCGTGTTTTTGAGGAGGAGTTGTATTTATATGCTTGAAGTTACATAGAACTTTGTACAGATGTCTTTTCAAGCCTAATGCACTTATAAGAACAGTAATAACCGTATATTTTTACACACTAATTTTTTTTGCTCTCCTGTTAATTAGAAAAGGGCATAATTTTGGCCTGTCAGGCAGTCTAGCAAGCTGGGCATAGACAGGGTGTGTGGTATGTCAACAACACGCAATCTTATTTAATATAGAACTTAATGATTTTTCTTGTTTTCTATTTCCAGATATGTGAAATGAATCTTTGGCATTGTGCTTGCCTATGAATGTCCTCTGAAGGATAAGTGACATCAGTCACTGAGAACTGCTGCCCTTGTCTGATAACTTTGCTACCCCAGATATTCACCTTCTGAACATGACCTTAGGAAACTCCTACAAGTATTTAACTGGCAACATCGGTTTTGTTACTTTGCAGCAGATGGAATAAAATAAGTGTTACAGCTGTATTTTGCTTTAAAATACAGCTTGAATTTTAATTTAAATTTGCTTTTATGAAAATATATTTGTAATTTTATATAGTTGAGAAATTTTAATGCTTTTTTTCCCATTATAATATATTTTTGTATACAAATAAATCCTGAACTGGAATCCAGATGTCTGAAAGCCTCATATAAACATGTGAACTCTGAAACATTAGTACGAATTATGTTCTTATTGAAAACATCAAACTTTAAAATATCTGATGAGGGTGTGTTTCCAGTTAGGCAAAATATGCTATGCTGGCTTCATGTGGGACTTCCTATTTTTCTTTTCAAATTGTTTAATAAGAGAATTTTGTACTATGTAAAATTAATATAATCAGGACAATAATAAAATTGGTCAAACTGTTACTTCAGATTTGCTTTCACTACTGATGAAATAGCACTGACTTTGTACAGATTTGTACAGTAACATCTATTTCAAACCCTATGTAAAAGCTAGCTTTGAGATTACACACCGTTCTACATGAAGTGCTAATTGGGAGGTCAGACATTTAGGCCCATGGGTTTAAAGGTATGGAGATCCTGTAGCACCAGGAAAATACTTGAGTGTCTGGATGTTTCTGATACCAGACCCTTAGGTAAAAAGCAGTCTACCACTTTTTTTTTTTAAAGACTTCCTGGCCATCAGTGCTGTGCTGAAAGAGGGGAAGGTGAACCTGTATTTTCACAGGAAACCTGATTCTTTCCATATGCATTAGACACTGGAGATGTTATGTGAGCTCTCCTGCTGCTGCTGCAGGCATTACTCTTGGCTCTGCTGTCTGAGCTGCTCATGGTCTCTAACCCATTCAGATGAGGTGAGCTGGGCTCGTTTGAACTCCAAGTCTTATTTTGGCCAAAGCAGCCTTGTGAGCCATGTGAATGCCCCCTTGGTCTGTTATTGTTGATGCAACTGGCTGGAGGGCCGAGCACAGAGGG